TAAGATCAGGGTCAAAGATAATACCATCAGGGTTATTGGAAGGAGGCAAAGGGTTACCCCTTGTAGACCGGTGTTGCAATGCTGTCGGTGAGTTGGAGGTTGTTGCGTCGTTGTTTTTTCTACGTTTTGGAGCCATGGGGCTGAATGGGAGATCGTTGGAGTTGCGGGACGACGCTTCTCTCGTCGGAACTTCAGACGTGTTGTCTTTGTGTTGGAAGCATTCCTGGCTTTGGGTTAGAGAAGAGGTGGAAAGGATGACTATAATGGGAAAAGTCAGTGGGATGATGAGTGGGGGAGGTACGGGAAGTCAATGGGGAAGTATGTGAACTGGGTTTTGGGAAAGTTAATGGCTTTTGGGGAGAGGAGAAGTTAATGGGTTGTCAGGTGTTGATAGGCTTTTTGGGGAGGTGGGGAATGTAATTGGGATTGATAAGCTGTTTGGGAGGTGGGGAATTTAATTGGGATGTCAGGTTGTTGTTTTTTTAAGTGGCCACGGGTGTGGTGGACGCCTTCGCAGGGTGTGGTAGACTCTGCAAATGAGATGAAGACTGTCCCGACTGCTACACGGGTGTGTTGGTAAACACGGACGAGCCGTGTCAACTGTGTATTCAATATTTTTCCTTCTGTCCTCTTTAGCCTTGAACTCTCTGTTACCTATTTTCCTTTTGTCATTCACCTACACACCAGTTCACGGAAACTTGATTACATGTCATGAAAACTAATAATTAAAACACTAAAAGGAAAAATAAAATGAAAGAGAAACTTGGGTTGCCTCCCAAGAAGCGCTTGTTTATGGTCATGAGCTCGACCCCTTCAATGCTCACAATGATGATGAATTGGGAAGGGTAAAAGTACCAAACTTCTCGATCGGAGTTCCTGTGAAATAATGCTTTAATCGATGTCCATTGACCTTGAAGGTACCCGTGGCTTCACTCCATACTTCGACAGCCCCAAATGGGTATGCTTTACGCACTTGGAATGGTCTAGACCACCTCGAACGAAGTTTTCCCGGAAAAAGCTTGAGTCGAGAATTAAACAAAAGTACCAGGTCCCCTTCTGTAAATTCTTTACGAAGGATGTGTTGATCATGCCACTTCTTTGTTCTTTCTTTGTAAATCTTGGCATTCTCATATGCATCCAACCTTAATTCATCGAGTTCATTTAGTTGAAGCTTTCTCTGTTCCCCTTCTTCTTTCAAATCTAAATTAATGTTCTTGATAGCCCAATGTGCCTTATGTTCCACTTCAACTGGTAAATGACATGATTTCCCATAGACTTCTTGATAGCCCAATGTGCCTTATGTTCCACTTCAACTGGTAAATGACATGATTTCCCATAGACCAATCTGAATGGTACCATACCTATAGGAGTCTTATAAGCTGTCCGATATGCCCAAAGAACATCATCTAGCTTCATAGACCAATCTTTTCTTGAACGAGACACTGTCTTCTCCAAGATTCCTTTGATTTCTTGATTAGTGATCTCCACCTGACCACTTGTTTGAGGATGATACGGTGTAGCCATTTTGTGAGTTACTCCGTACTTCCTTAAAAGCGTACTTAGGACCCTGTTTGCAAAGTGAGATCCTCCATCACTGATTACAGCTCTTGGGACCCCAAACCCGGGGAAAATGACCTTTTGAAATAATTTGACCACCACTTTCACATCATTTGTTGGGGATGATAAAGCTTCAGCCTATTTTGACACGTAATCCACTGCTACTAATATATACTTGTTGTTGCGTGATGGTGGAAAAGGTCCCATAAAGTCAATCCCCCACACGTCGAAGAGTTCGACTTCAAAAATGTTATTTAGTGGCATCTCATTCCTCCGTGAGATATTTCCTGTCCGTTGACAACGATCACAACTAAGTGTGAAATGTCTCACATCCTTGAAAAGTGAAGGCCAATAGAACCCAGATTGCAAAACTTTAGCGGTGGTCTTGGTGGTGCTTGCATAGCCTCCGTATGGTGAAGAATGACAGTGGGATATGACATCCAATACCTTCTCTTCAGGCAGGCATCTTCTAAATACTTCATCTGCACAATGCTTATAAAGACAAGGTTCATCCCAATAATAGTGCTTGACATCCGATAGGAACTTCTTGTGTTGTTGATAGGACAATTCGGGTGGTAATACCCCACAAGAAATATAGTTCACAAAATCAGCGAACCAAGGGGCTTGAAGACTTGTAATAGCAAACAGGTTGTCATCTGGGAATGAATCATCAAATGGCTCCTTTTCACCTTCTCTTTGATCCATTTCTTGCCTGAGCCTAGAGAGATGATCAGCCACCACATTGTCAGTTCCTTTCTTGTCTTTTATCTCGAGATCAAACTCATGTAATAAGAGAATCCACCTTAGTAGTCGTGGTTTTGCATCCTTTTTAGCCAAGAGGTACTTCAAAGCAGCGTGATCTGTGAATACTATGACCTTCGACCCAACAAGGTATGATCGGAATTTATCCAAGGCAAACACTACGGCTAGGAGTTCTTTTTCTGTTGTCGCATAGTTCATCTGAGCTTCATCTATTATTCTACTGGCATAGTATATAGCGTATATTTTCCCTTCTTTCCTTTGCCCAAGAACAGCCCCGATAGCATAGTCACTTGTGTCGCACATAATCTCGAATAGAATGCTCCAATCAGGTGATCTCATAACTGGGGCAGTTGTCAACGCTTCCTTTAACCTGTCAAAAGCATCAAAACAAGATTGATCAAATGAAAAGGGAACATCTTTTATAAGCAAGCGGGTTAAGGGTTTGGCAATCTTAGAAAAATCTTTAATGAAACGCCTATAGAACCCGGCATGGCCTAGAAAGCTCCTAACTCCTTTTACATTAGTCGGTGGTGGCATCTTAGCAATGATATCAATTTTAGCTCTATCCACTTCAATACCCCGATTAGAAATTAAATGACCTAAAACAATTCCTTCTTGTACCATAAAATGGCATTTCTCCCAATTTAACACAATGTTCATTTCTTTACATCTCTTTAAGACCTTAGCAAGGTTATGCAAACAGTCATCAAAAGAAATGCCATAAACTGAAAAATCATCCATAAAGACCTCCATAATGTTCTCAATAAAATCAGAAAATATGACCGTCATACATCTTTGAAAAGTGGTCGGGGCGTTACATAGGCCAAATGACATTCTCCTATAAGCAAAAGTGCCATATGGACATGTAAATGTTGTCTTCTCTTGATCGCTAGGATGAATTGGGATTTGAAAGAATCCTGAATACCCATCTAGGTAACAGAAGTAAGAATGCCTAGCCAGCCTCTCTAGCATTTGATCAATAAAAGGGAGGGGAAAATGATCTTTTCTGGTAGCTTTATTCAGTTTTCGATAATCAATGCACATGCGCCAACCTGTGACTATTCTAGTGGGTATTAGCTCATTTTTTCATTTTTGACAACGGTCATACCTACCTTTTTAGGTACTACTTGAACCGGGTTCACCCATTCGCTATCTGAGATAGGATAGATGATCCCCGCATCAAGTAGTTTCAGCACCTCTTTCCTAACGACTTCCTTCTTGTTCGGGTTTAGCCTTCTTTGATGTTCAATGGAAGTTTTGTACCCTTCTTCTAGCAAAATTCGATGCATGCAAATGGATGGATTAATGCTCTTAATATCGTCTATGGAATAACCTATCGCATCCCTATGCAACCTTAGAACCTTAAGCAATTTCTCAACTTCCTGGTGACTTAAATCAGCATTAACAATTACAGGGTATTCACCATTGGCGTCCAATAATTCATACCTGAGCGAGGAGGGGAGTGGTTTTAGTTCTACCTTAGGTGCAGTTTTTCTTTCACAAACCTGTTCTGGGCTGTTTCTGCTGCTTTTTGACACGGCCGTGTCCATGGACACAACCTGGGCATTCAACTCTTTTGTAGTTTCGGCCACTGCATCAGGTCCTTTGCTGTAGGTGATTTTGGTGCAGGTTGGACTTCCATCAAGCATCGTAACATAGGAAGGTACTTCCTGATCATCGTCAACTGGTGCCTCATTCTCTACTAAGCATTTCTCAAGTGGATCACTTGATATGCATTTAATAAAGTCTTCTCTAACCACCATATCAATCGTATCAATCCTGCAGCAAGTATCATCAATTAGTGGAAACTTCATAGCAGAAAACAAATCAAAATTCACCTTTTCATACCCTATATTGAGAGAGAGCTTTTCATTCTTCACATCAATTATCGCTCCAGCAGTAGCAAGGAAAGGTCTTCCCAATATAATGGGGATTTGAGAATCCTCCTCAATTTCAAGAATAACAAAATCAACCGGGATGTAGAATTTACCAACCTGGATAGGTACATCCTCTAATATACCTACCGGACATTTAACCGATCGATCCGCCAATTGGAGGGAGATAGTAGTGGGCTTCAAGTCTCCCATCTGCAACTTGTTACATATAGACAGTGGCATAAGACTAACACTAGCACCGAGATCACATAGAGCACGATTAATTGACATATCACCAATTGTGCAAGGAATTGAAAATGAGCCAGGATCTTTAATGTTAGGTGGTAGCTTATTTTGTATGATGTCGCTACGCTCTTGGGTCAAGGCTACAGTTTCATATTCCTCTAATTGCCTCTTATTTGATAGAATCTCCTTTAAGAATTTGGCATAGGATGGCATTTGGGAAATGGCTTCAACAAATGGGATGTTAATATGCAATTTTTTTAATATTTCTATGAACTTCCCAAACTGTTTTTCCAACTTAGCTTTAACTTGCCTTTGAGGGAATGGTAGTGGAGGCTTATAAGGTGCAGGTGCTACATATCTCTCAACTTTCTCACTACTGTGCTCTTTCTCACTTGACACTAACTTCTCACTCTCATCAACCACATCCTTATGGTCAGTCCTCATCATTGGTCCCTCTAACTCTTTTCCACTCCTAAGTGTGATGGCATTGATAGATCCCTTTGGGTTAGTTTCAGGTTGCCCAGGAAACATCCCAGAAGGTCTGGAAGAAGAGCTAAATTGTTAGGCCACTTGAGTGATCTGATTCTCTAACATTTTATTATGGGTGGCTAAAGAGTCAACCTTAGAAATTAGGTTTTTGATGGCATCTCTCATGATTCTATTCTGATTTCTAAATTCTTCATTTTGTTTATTCTGGGATGACACAAAATTCTCCATTAAGCTCTCTAAGTTAGACTTTTGGGGACTGGGGTAGGGGAGTCTAGGGGCTTGAAAAACAGGAGGTCGAAAATTAGAGTGAGGATTTGGGTTCTGTGATGGATTTTTGTAGGATAAATTAGGATGATTTCTCCATCCCGGGTTGTACGTATTTGAAAAAGGATCCCCTTTCTGATTAAAATTATTCATGTAATTAACATGTTCAGATAGTGGTGCATCAGAGGAAGGGGAGTTTCCAATTTGACATTCCACAGCAGAATGTCCATTAATACCACATATTTCACAGTTAGTAGTAGAGTTAGATGCTACTGAATTCATGTTCATCTTGTCAAATTTTTGAAATAAAGCATCTACTCTAGAAGCAATGTGGTCTAATGCATCAACATCATACCTCCCGCTCTTTTTGGGTAAAGAGCGCTCACCTGACCATTGGAAATGGTTCTGTGTCATATCCTCTATGAGTTGTTTTGCATCTCGTACACTTTTGTTCATCAATGCACCACCCGCTGCAGCATCCACTGTCATCCTTGTGTTGTAGAGAAGACCGTTGTAGAAAGTATGAATTATGAGCCAATCCTCCAACCCGTGATGTGGACACATCCTTAGAAGATCCTTGTACCTCTCCCATGCATCATACAATGACTCCCCTTCTTTTTGAGTGAAGGTTGTTATCTGATTTCTCAATTGGGCTGTTTTGCTCGGAGGGAAGTACTTAGCAAGGAACGCTTCTGAGAGTTGGTCCCATGTAGTGATGGAGCCCGGTGGAAGTGATTGCAGCCAAGCCCTTGCCTTGTCTCTTAGTGAGAAGGGAAACAACCTTAGCTTGATTGCATCATCCGACACTCCATTCATCTTCAAGGTGTCACAATACTCCAGAAAGACTGAGATATGGAGGTTTGGGTCTTCGGTTGGAGTGCCTCCAAATTGGTTTTGCTGAACCAAGGAGAGGAGTGAGGGCTTGAGTTCGAAATTGTTGGCAGCAACATTAGGCTTCAAGATGCTTGATTGGGAGCTATGGGTGGTTGGTGATGCAAACTCCTTCAAGGATCGGTCTTGATTGCCTTGGTTTTCTTGGTCTCCCATGGTGTTTTTGCTTTTCAAATTATCCTTTGTTTCTCATGCCTTCTTCCTAATATGACGCAAGGTCCTTTCAATCTCGGGATCACACTCGATTGGTTCTCCAAGTCGTAAGGATCTGGGCATACAAGGGTGCCTGCACTAAAAAAAAGGAACAAGTCAAACGAAAAAAAAAGTAAAATAAAATAAATGAAAGAAAATGTCTAGTCTAGTCAAACAATGAAAAAGTCAATATTAACAATGCCGAAGTCCCCGGCAACGGCGCAAAAAACTTGTTCACTCAAATCCGCAAGTGCACGGATATCGTTGTAGCATTAAGAACGACTAACCTATGATAACTATTAGTCTCTTTCGACGACTAAAATTCGTGCCTAATTCAGCCTAGCAACCTATTTTCATGGTGTTGAACCAAATTAAACCTATTAAGTTCTTGTTAATCCCTCATGTTCTCAAGAATAATTAACCTACTTTCGTGATCGATTAATTCTTGTTCAATTACTATTTTCCGGCATCAATCTAACCTTTCAGTTCAAATCAACATCCTAAAAGAATTAAATCAGTGGCCAATTGAATTAACCCTAGGCAATTAGATACTAGTAACTGAATAATGCAAATCGAACAATCAATAACAATAACAATTAGTTCATTAATTCATAACCATGGCCGAACCTAGTTCAATCCCAGATAAGACAATTACTCACACATAATTGAAATAGAAAACATGATAACAATATATAAGATCATAATCATAAACTAGAAATTAAGATAGATCAGAAAGATAAACCGTAGTGTTGAAGTTGCACTCAATTCTCCACAAACAGCAGGTTCCAAATCAAAAGGAAACCTAATCTAAGAGTTTTTAGAGAGAAGAAGAGAAGAAGAAGAAAGAAAAATCAAGATCTCCAGCCTCTGGTTTTTTTTCCAAATGCTTCAGGGCGTCTCCCTTTTAATTCTGGGAAAAACGTGTTGAAAGATAACTTCAAATATTACTCCAGATCGCATGATAACTGACTGCTGTCATCCAACACGACTGTGTAGATCGACACGACCAGGCCGTGTTTAATTCTGTTTCGCTCTGCTTTCTAGGCTTTTCTTCTGTAATCAACACGCCTGTGTTGTTGAACACTGGTGACCATGTAGTCACTTTCCTTACATTCCTTGACTCCTTCTTGACTTCAAATCCGCGCTAAGCTCCAGTAATTCCTACACAGTATATAAATAGAGCAGTAAACAAGAACTAGGGAGCTTAACATGGCCAAAATACAAGGAAATACATCAAATAACAATGAATCCGTAGGTGAAACATAGTCAAAATATAGATAATATTCATGTTTATCAGAAATGCCCATTAAATAAAATTAATGGCCTAAAACTTTAATTTGATTAATAATCAAATAATCCGTAGCTTAATTGTTATAGCCCCATAGTCTGAATAAGATTGTTTGAACATTCAAATAATCCTCAATAGGCCCAAAACTTAATTTGATTCTAACCCAACTTAAAATAAAACTAAGTGGGCTTTAGCCTGTTTCCACATAGCCCAAATAAAATTTTAATTGGGCTTCGGCCAGAAATCAAATATTTACAGGTCCATAACCAAATAACTTAAGAGGTCCATAGCCAAATAACTTAAGAGGCCCATAACCAAATTTAATTTGAATTAATCTTCTTAGAAAATGAAAAAAACCTCATAAGTTAATAAGGCCCATGAGTTATAAGCCCTACAACTTAATTAGTTTCACAAGAACAATTACATGGCAGGCCCATACCAAAAGATCTTAGGTGGGCTTGGCCTTAATTAACTAAATTATAAAATAAAATAATTTAGTGGCTCACACAAAAAATATCTTATTGGGGTTTGTCCTTTGAGTTTTCTCAAAGGGGGTGTTAGTCAATTGGGACATTTTAATGCAAAATGAGATAATTGTTAAAGTGAAATAATTTTTCGTTAGTGGGATATTTTAGTAGGATAAATAGGAATAATTTTTTGAAGCGAGATATTTTGAAAAAATAACGTGGGATAAATTTTTATAATCATGAAATATATATTTATGCATTTTGAAGATATAAATACTATTTATGTATTTTAAACTTACTATTATTGATTGATAATTGTTTACAAGAATGTTCTTTACTATTAAATAACTTTTGGTTAGACTATAAGATATTAACAATTATTATTATAATGATGGTCTAATGGTCTAATGATGGTGATAACCATAATAGGAAAGAAGTAAAAAAAAAAAAAATATAAAAAATAACAAAATAAATATGAGTTCTAGTTTTTTACCACCTAGTTCTAACCTAAAACTTGGAATAATTTGAGAGACTTGAACTCTCATTTTTATATAGAAAAATAAAAAAGTGGGATAATTTTGTACAATTATCCCAATTCTAGTTATATTAGAGTTTTACTTGACTAACACTGTAAAATTTTGTTCTCGTTTTAGTTTTATGTGACTAACACCTTAAAAATTTATCCCACATATTATCCCAGTTCTAATTTTAAGTTCTAGATGACTAATCCCCCCAAAGAAAACTCACCTGCAGCCATTAAAAACCTAACAGAACTATCAAGTTCCTTCTTAAAAAAATTGATGTTCACCTGAAAATTCCCAATTGAGCCAACTACGAAGCTCAAGCTCGCCTCTTAAATCTCGCCTGAAACAAGATCGAAGGCTCGCCAGAGTTCGATCCTTCTAGCTTTAGGGCCTGTTTGGATTTGTAAGGGGTGAAGGGAAGTTAAGGGAAACTGAGAGAAGGGAAGGGAAGGGAAGGGAATTCCCTTCTCCTTAGTTACACCCCAATTTGGGGGGTAACAATTTTTATACTATTAGGGGGTGAACCAAGGGGAACTAGGATGAATTAACTTCACCTCCTAAGTGTTCCCAAACAAGATGAATGGAGGTGAATGGTTCCCCTAACTTCCCTTCACCCTCATTCCCCTCAATCCAAACAAGCCCTTAAGGGCTCGCCTGATTTCGAATTTAGAGCTCGCCTGAAACAAGCCCTAAGCTCGCCTGAGAGAGCTTCAAAACTCGCCTGAACGGAGCAAGAAGCTCACCTAAAATTCGAGTGAAAGCTCGCCTGAAGTTTGAGTGAAAGCTCACCTAAAGTTCGAGACTCAAAAACTTGCCGAGAGAGCTTCGAACTCGCCTGAATAGAGGCGTTGAGCTCGTTTGTAAACAGAAGCTGGAGCTCACCTGAATCGAACTTGTGAGCTCGCCTGAACTAGGGATCTTCGAGCTCGCCTGATTCGAGCATGAGAGCTCTCCTGAAATTGGTGCTCGAGCTCGCATGAAGCACGAGCTCGCATGAAGCACGAGCTCGCCTTAATGAGTTTCCTCACCTGAGCCATTTGTTGACGAGTCTCGCCTGCTGACGTAGTTGACGAAGCTCGCGTGCAGTCAAGGACTCGAGCTCTCCTACAAATATTGCCGACAAGCTCGCTTGAATGAGGTAACGGTCGCCTCCTTAATTTCTGCACATTTTCACGCACGATCTTTTTCTACCCCTTAGGGTTTCGAAAGTGAACCGTCGCCGCCCAGCTGTCAAAGGAAGATAGCGGCGGCGACATCAAGAAACCCTAGGGTTTCGAAACCCTAGGGTTTCGAAACCCTAGGGTTTCTTGATGTCGCCGCCGCTATCTTCCTTTGACAGCTGGGCCGCCAGCGATCATCGCTGGCGAGGAGCTAAGTTATCGACGACCAAAAATCCAAATGAAGAAGAACTTGATCTGGTCTTTGAAAAGATTCCAGATCCAAAAAACTGATTTTGTTTCTCACATTCTGGATCAATGATTTTGATCTAGATTCAACAACCGAAAGAGAGAAACAACCCAAAAATGTGAACTTTACTGTTCATGCGTGCAAAAATCTCAAAAAACACAGATTGAGATAAAAAATCCCAAATTTTGATCTTAAATCCCTAAGAACTAATCACAGTGGCTCTGATACCACTTGTTGGAATTTATTACTGTGATTAATTCAAAGAGATTAACATGAGAGCGGAAGCTATACCTTAAGTCATGATGATATGCACGGATCTGAAACTTGGATTTTGGATCTTCTAATCTTGAGGGTTCTCTCTTGAGAATTCTCTTTAGACGGAGATAAGAGAATGAGAACTTAACCCTAAGATTAGAGACCATAACCCCTTTATATAGACTTGCAGTTTTCTAATTTAGCCCATCATTAAATTAGAATTGCAATCTGGTATCTGCACAATTAGTCCATGACATATATAAATACCCATTGACCCAATTACATGATTGATCACTTTATGTTGGTCAATTACAAAGATAACAACACACACTGATGTAACATATGTGTCCACAAATAGATTTAATTAGATTTAAATCTAACAACTACAACACTTGACGTGGTCAATGAGAGCAAATAATGGAGAATCAAATAATGTCTAAATTATTGAGATCAGAAAGAAATCTTTCTTGGTGGTTTACATTGATGAGCAGACATAATTAGTCGGGAAAATAGTTTGCCTGTAAATAAATGTTCAATGAACCTATATGGGTACACTATCAAAAACGTGATGTGAGCTTTGCTGTAAGGTCTGTGTAAATCTTTGCGTTAACTATCATAATTAGCTGCATTCTCATGCAAATTACCTTCCACTTTCTTAGAGATACTTCGCCTTCCAATTTTTCATTCTCATCTTGTTGTATCAGAGGAGAGGGCGAAATCTGAATACTAACTTCTGTCGTGAGTTTTAACTGCCAGTTTTTTTACAGTTCATTTCTTTCTTTCGTTTTCGTTTGTTTATTTGACGTTAATTGCATTAGACTAGATAAACTATTGAATTAGTTTATGTTGCCTATATCATGATTTAGTCAGTAATGTCTAGGTTTCCTCCTTTGATCATACATCAAGTGTATTTGCACATTTTTAGAAGAAGTTTCGCAATTGATTACTGATATATGTTCTTGATTCCTGAACAGGGAAGCCATGGATTCATCAGAGAATTAGACCCCAAAAACGCAGATGTCACTCAAGTAAGCTTTGGAGGCTTCACTGAAAAAGTCTCAGCAGAAGAACTCGCTAATTTCTTAGAATACGCAGTTGGAACTATATATCGCTGTCGGCTGAAGACATCATGGACTCCTCCAGATTCATATCCAGACTACAAAATTATTGATGCGGTTGACAGTTTACTTCCTTTAAAAGATAGCTATAATCGAGCAGTTCCTCATGCCTTCGTTCACTTCGCAGTCTCAGACGCAGCAAAGAGAGCCATAGATGCTGCAGAACGCTGCGAGCTAATACTCAATGGTCATCATCTAAGAGCCATCTTAGGATCAATGGGCAGTTCTTTTCATGTTTCACGAAGGAGAACAATGGACCCCATCAAGTTTCCCAATCTCTGATCGAAGTTGGGACTCGTATCAGTCACGATGAATTCTGGGTGAGTTGGAGTGCACCGAGCTCTGGGGCTGATTTTGTGATTGATCCCTTTGATGGATGTTGTAAGATTCAGTTCTTGAAGAATGGTCGTTCACTACTGCAAAGGGGACTATTGGCGACGGACAAATCCGTCGCCAAAAGTCCAAAATCCGTCGCTAAAAGTTTTAGCGACGGAAAAAAAGAAATTCCGTCGCTAAAACTCCGTCACTATTATCAGGGTAGGTAAATCTACCTTTAGCGACAGCTAATCCGTCGCTAATTTATAGCGACGGTTATATAGCGACGGAAAATCCGTCGTTTATGTATAATTTTTTGACGACGGTATTTTCCGTCGCTATATACTTAACCGTCGCTATAATTCTTGACGACGGAAAATCCGTCGCCAATTTATAATTTTGGCGACCGTATTTCCGTCGCCCTATTTCCGTCGCTATATAATTTTCCGTCGCCAATATATATTGGCGACGGAAAATCCGTCGCTGAAAACTGTATTAGTGCACAACTGGC